GGGGGTCCGTGTCCAACATGCAGATTCCCAGGCCATCCCCATCCTTCTGAGGGGGCCAGGGAACATGCATTCCTAATAAAGAGCCATGGGGATTCAGTCCAGGCATTTTCCAGCTGCAATTCCCTCCTAGCAGGCCAGAGGTGGGCAGGCCCTCCCCGTCCCTCCCCGCCCCTCGTGTTTCTGCCCAGCCCACACCTGCCCTCCTGGGCCAGCCCCTCCAGGTCCTCTGAAGACCCCTCCCACATCCTGTCGGTGCCCCAGACATGGGCCAGGGGGAGGGAGCCATGTCTGGTCCATCCTGCACTCGGAGGCTGCCCCCTGGTGGCTGTGCTGGGAACACACCAGCACAGGATCCGCCTAGCCTCCCTGTGCCTGGCCGCTCTGACTAGCACCCGCTCACCCTCACCCTACTAGTGCCTTCCCAGGCGACCTCCCCCTGTTCCCGCGGGGGAAGGGAGCTCCACCTGGGCGCACCTCCCTCATGCAGGCACCAACCACTCCACCTGGAATGGGCCCCCCTTTCCTATCCCAGGGGCAGCTGGTTCCTTCCCGAGGCAGAGCTGGGTCTTAGGCAGCTAGACTACTGATAGGGCGCCCCCAACTCCCAGGCTGGGCCTCTGCCCTGCACCTTCAATCCCCTGGCTTGGCCTGAGGCCCCTCCCACACCCACCCTGAGAAGCCCCCACAAGGGTCAGAGAGCCCCAGGAGCAGGTGACACCATGAGGGGTATGTGGGTGGTCTCTCCCTGGCAGGGGGCCACAGCAACTCTGGGGCCTTTCCCGAACGCAGTGCAACGTCGGGCATCCCCTGTGGTGGCCTCACCCTTCTGAACAGGGCCGGCGGCCTCTGCACAGGCCTGGGCTCTGGGCTCTGGGCTGGATCTCGAATCTATGAACAGGAGTGACCATGGCTGCTCACGGCCCAGGCGGGGCAGAGAGGTAGAGCTGTGTAGCCAGGGAGGCCAAGGTGTGGCTCCAGTGAGCTGTCCAAACTGGTGGCCTTGCCTGGGTTGTCCACACTGGCGGAGGGCTGTGTCCCTATTTTGCAGACAGGGACAGGGACACATCAGAGCAGTGAGGCAGAGCCCCGAACCAAAGTGGAGCCTCTCTGGCCTCCACAGGGGCCAGAGCAGCCATGCCACACGCTCTGATGCTGCCCTGCCCCACCAGGCAGGGGGCCCACAAGGCCGGGCACAGAGAAGAGGCCTCAGAGGCCATCCTGGGCAGGAGTACCGACCCTCCTGACACTTTAATGAGGACGATTCTGAAAGCCACTGCTGGTGATAGCATATGTGTTCCTCACAGCACCCCCACTTCTCTTTGTGGAGAAACACTCTGGATAGCCTAGATCCAGCCTCAGGAAGCGGGGTGGGGCCCAGGAGTGGATAGGAGGGGCCAGTGCCCCAAACCACCTGCCTCCCCCTGTGCGCCCACTCCACCTGGGGCTTATCATGGCCTTGCCCTTGTGAAGGTCATGGCCTTCTCTCCCTCTGGCCAGTCTTCCGTCCTGGGCCCAGCCAGGAGCTGCCTCTTCCAGGATGCCCCCTGGATTGCTCTCCTTCAGACTCCGACCCTCTCTCTATCTTCTCTTGTGACTGCCTTTGCTGAAAGGCTGTGTTTCAGGTTCAGACTGGGGCTGCTTTGCCTGGGGGGTGTGGAAGTGGAGGTGCCAGTGAGGAGAACCCCAGGGAAGTGGGGGTGGGGCATGGGCCATCTGGGGGCCCCCGCCACCCATTTCAGGGGTGAAAAGCCCAGATTTCCCCAGCTTGGCCCTCTGCCTGGACAGGGGCAGGAGGAGGCAGACCCTACGCTTAGGGCTAATGTGACGCAGGGTTGCCTGTCCACCCACCCATCCATCTGTGCATCCCAGGGGTCCTGGGCCTTAGATGTTCACACACTGGGGAGCAGGGATTCACCAGTGTTCATTCATCAAAGGTGAGACAGGTGGGTCTTCTGCCATCAGTGCCACCTCGGTGCACAGGGAAGTCAGGGAGGGCTTCCAGGAGGAAGGACTGCCTGATGTGGCATCGTGTGCAAGAGGCCTGGAGAGAATGTTGACTGGGGAGCAGCAAGTAGTTTAACAGGGTGGGTCTGGGGGTGGGGGTGGGGGTTAAGGGTGAAGAGGGGTAGGGACCATTCTGTTAGGAGGGAGGGCTATGTTCCAAGGGCACTGGGGAGCCTCAGAGCGTTTCAGGGCAGGTCCCATGGGAAGGGATAAGGCCCAGTAGGACGGAGGAGGGGGCATCGGAGGAGCTGAGGCTGAGAGGGGGGAGCGTGGACGGGGAGCCTCAGCTGGACACACACGAGAGCTGGCCACACTCCCCTGAACCCCCTCCCCATTCTAAGGGCAGCTGCCCCTTTTGGCCGGGGTTTGGTCACACCAGGTGCCTTCAGGGGCACCTCTAGGCCCTGCCTTCCCGCCCTGCCTCTTCCTCCAGGTTTCCCTTTGTTTTTCTTTTTTTGGAGGCACAGACGGCTGGGAGCTAAAGGTCCACCTCGCGGGGATAAATATTTAATAGTCAGAAGCACTTTCTAAAATGGAAAGATGGAGCTGGGCCCAGGAGGCCTGAGGGGCCGGGGCAGGGTGGGAGATGGCGTCCCACTGTGCCCACTGCTTGCCTGGTTCCTGCCCTGCGGCGAGCCAGAGGACCCAGTGTGTGTACCTGAGGGTGAGGGGCAGCGTTGGGCCCCTCCCCAGAGAGATTGGCGGTAGAGACTCGCCGGCGCGTGGCGCCCAGGGCTGCTGGTGGAGCGGTAGGCGGAGCTGTGGCTCCCAGCCGCCAGCACAGGCGGGCTTTCCACCTTCTTAGCTGGTTGAACCGCCAGGAGTCCTGGGAAGGTCCAAGCTGGGCTCCTGCCCGGACACAGCACCGGATGTGGGTGTCCATTGCCGAGAGGATGGCCGAGGCTCAGAAAGGAGCTGGCCAGGAAACCTGGGGTGGGGTCCTTATTTGGGCCTCCCTGTCACAACAGTGGGGTGACAGGCTCGCTCAGCCCCGTTGTCCACTGGAGGGTCCACCCAGGTGCCGGTGTCTGCGTGGGCTGGAGGCCCCGGAGGTGAGGCCCCACTGGGCCAGGTCAAGGCTACTTTCTTTGGGGCTCAAGCCTCCGGCTGGCTGCCCACCCCAGGGTGGGGGTCAGACCGTGGGCTGCCCACATTGGGCTCTGGGTACCCCGCCCCTCCTACTCCTCCCCCGACCCTGGCTGGTGCCCTTGTTTCCCAAGAGCTGCCAGCGCTGCCAGAGCCTCCCAGGCGGGGAGAGGATGGCCTCCCCCCAGGCACCTGACTGCAGGACCCCTCCAGGCGGCTCCCCCCGCACCCCCGTCCCGGCAGGCCTTGCTCCTGGGTGGCAGAAGCACCTGAGGGCTCCTCCGTGACACATCCCCTGAGAATGCCACGCTTGCCCCGACCTCCTCGCCAGCTGATTCACTATCAGCTGCCCCTGGCCCCGCCCCGCCCTTTCCCATAGTGACTCCAAGGGCCCGGAGTCCAGGTGGCTCTGTGCTACGGCTGCCGGTGCAGCGGGGGTCAGCGGACACATGCTGGGCAGCCGGCATCCAGGCCTGGAGGTGTGGCAGCTCAGCAGCTGCCCTGGCCAGCATCCCTTCAGCTGGCCCAGCACCTGCCTGGAGCCAGGGGCCCGACAGGTGGGGTCCCTGGGAGCCAAGGTGGGTGGACAGGGCCTCCTCACCCAGAGCCCTTATCCGCTGGGGAGCCAGATACACCCCTGCAGGACTGACGCCAGCCCAGGGGCGGGGTGAGGAGTGGCCCCCTGACTCTCGTCGCTACTGGATCACAGTGGTCCCGACCCAGAGCCCCGTGCCAGCAGCTGACTCCTTCCCTTCCCAGCCACTTCCCATCGCCCTGGAGCCGCCCCCGCACAGACCTGCAAGGAGTGCTGGCGCTGGCTTCCTGAGGGAGCGAGTCCAGGGTCTGAGCCGGGCGGGCTGGCGGATGTTGGAGTCTGGAGAGGGCTTGTGGGGGGCGGGGTCAGAGCATAGGGTTTCGGGGTGAGTGTGGCTGAGGCCTCCTCCAGCCAGTGGGTGGGGTGTGTCTGGCAGCAGGAGGTGGGAGCCCGCTGAGGCTGTCACAATGGTCCTGAGGTGGGGTGACAGCAGGGGAAGGCCCCCGGCCGCTCAGAGGGCTCCGGGGTAGGCAGAGGGCTCCACCAGCTCGAGGCAGCCAGCACTGCTGGGAACACTGGGTGAGAGGCCTGAAGGAGGAAAAGCACCCAGGGCCCTTCCCGGTGGGTGGCCGCAGGGGAGGTGGTAGAGGGTTCAGGAGGACGGGGGACGGCTTGATTGGGATGGAGCGCCCAGGCTCAGAGGGGACGAGGCGGGGTGACCCTGCTCCGTGCCAGCATATACCCCCGCCTCCCAGCTAAGTCAGCAGGACCGGCCCTGCCCCAGGGGCAGGGACAGGGGGTTTGGGGGTGTCGGTAACAGTCTGGTGGGGTGTCAAGCGGTAAACAAAGAATTCCCAGGTGAGAACTGTGTGGGCCGGTGGAGTAGGTGAGGTCACTGGCCAGCAGGCCTGGCCGGTTTCCTGTCTCAGTGTGACTAGAGTCTTTTATGACCGTTAGGTTTTCAGGGGGGGACAGGCCGGAAGGGCCCTGGGTGCTTTTCCTCCTTCAGGCCTCTCACCCAGTGTTCCCAGCAGTGCTGGCTGCCTCAAGCTGGTGGAGCCCTCTGCCTACCCGGGAGCCCTCTGAGCGGCCGGGCGCCTTCCCCTGCTGTCACCCCACCTCAGGCCGCTCTGGGCTTCCCCTGTCCTGGTGGGGGCCCGGCCTCCCGGCAGCTGCTTTCAGTGCCTGTCGCCCTCAGTTACGCAAGGAGCCCTCAGCTCTGCGGCCACTGTTGCAGGCCTGGTGTGTCTGCTGGGGGTGTAGGTGCAGATTCGGGCTGACCCATCGCCGCCCTTGAACCCCAGCCTGGGCCCCTCAGCTGTGCCAGCCTGCTCCGACCTGCTCGTGGGATGCAGGTGCCCGCAGCCAGCTGGGCCCCACCCACGGGGCTGTGAGGCGCAGGGCGGGGTATCCCTCGGACCAGCAGCAGATCTGCAGATAGGCCAGTCCATGGGCCTGCCCGGGCCTGCCGGGCCTGCCGGGGCTCCTGGAGCTGGGAGGGGCCTTGGAGCCAGAATCCGCGTTCTCCCGCCCCCCTCAGGGGTCCCCCAGAGCAGGGGCTGGGAGTCCTGGGGAAAGAAGGGTGAGGTGACAGGAGAGGGCAGGCCCAGCAGGTGGGGTCTGGGGAGCGGGGGAGTTGGGCGGTCTTCGGCACGTGTTCCTCAGCTGCCACTTATATCCAACGACTGGGGAGGGGGTGGTTAAAACTGCTGGTTCCGGGGACCCACCGCACTCAGCTCATCAGAGGCCCTGGAACTTTGAGGGGTGGGTTTTGGCTGAGAGGGCTAGAGGGTGGCTGGGGTCAGGCTGCCCTTGAGGGGCATGGGCAGGGGGGCAGTGGCCAAGGCCACCTTCCCCAAGGCCACTGGCCCAGGCCATGGGTGGGCTTGGTCTGGCCCTGCTCTGGCTTTTGTGGCCTTGGCTGTGGAAGGGGCTGGCTGTGCCCTGGGTAGTGGTCTCAGCAGAGCCTGAGGGGCTGTGCAGCACTGAGTTTCCAGAGGGAGCAGTAGCCTGTGCCCATCCTGGGTCCCTCCTGGAAGGGCCTCCGTCCCCGCCTTTGGCTATGCCTCCACACCCCTCCCCTGCACCCCCAGCCCGACAGCCCTCAGCCTCTGTCCCAGGCTCGTGCACAGCCTGCCAGACGGTCCTGTGTGACATCTGAGTCTGTCCACACAGCAGGACTAGACTGGACCGGGGCAGCGTTAGTGACTCGCACACCCCAAGCTGGGCGGTGTCTCCTCTCCCAGTCAGCTGCTCGGCCTGGGGGGGCACTCTGGGGGAGGGGCAGGGGCCTGGCCCAGCTGTGGGGGCCTGTAAGGGGACCCGCCCAATCCCTCTGGTAGGGCGAAGGGGGCTTGGCGGGCTCTGGGCCCCGCAGAGAAGGGGGCCTGTGGGCGGCTTGGTGGAGGGAGGGGCCGTGGAGGGGAGGGGTGGGGAGGGCGGCCAGAGGGAGCTGCAAGCCTGGGATCTTCACCTCGGGGCAAGTTGGGAGGACGGCGGGCTCGGTAAGCGGCGGCGCTGTCTTCTGTGCCCACCCTGCGCCCCCTGTCCCCTGCCTTCCTGGGTTTAGCTCTGGGGCACCTGATCACCTCACCACCCAGCAGGTGGAGGGTGGGGGCACAGGGGTGGGGGGGGGTGGCAGAGCTGGGCCGGGCATCTCCCTGTCTCTGCCGTGCTTCAGCTCCAGCTGATGTTGGAGGGTGCCCACACCAGCATGGCCATTTCAGTCCCAGGACAAGCAGATCCCCAAGGCTGGACCATGTGGCCTGCAGGGGGTCCTCAGAAGATGGCCGTTTGGTGCACTGGGAACCCTGGGGGCTGGCAGGAGGGCGCTTCAGACACGTTTACCTGCAGGTGCCAGGTGGGCGGGGGGGGGCCGTGGTGGTGGGCCA